GGGCCCAAGAGAGGCCAAGGGCCCCACGAGGCCCCCAAGACGGTCCAAGAGGGCTTCGAGTCGCCGAAGGATCGTTCCAAGACGCCGAAGATGACCTCAAGATGGCCCAAGAAGTCTCCAAGACGCCCCAAGCGGCCTCCAAGAGGCTTCCCAAGAAGGCCCCAAGGAGCAAACATCATTGATTTCGCCAGAGGTCGTGGAAGGATTTTGGCGTTCTCGCTGTTTGTGCTATCCGACGCTCCAAGACGGCCTAAGAGGCCCCCAAGAGCACTCCAAGACGGCCCAATAGGCCTCCAAGAGGGCCCCAACACGGCTAAGAGCGTCCCAAAACGGCCCAAGAGGCGCCCAAGACGGCCCAAGAGGGCACGAACACGGCCCAATAAGGGGCCCAAGGGAGGGGACACGTACCGAAAATCCGAGCCTTCCGATCCAAGGGGCTCCCATGAGGCCCCAAGAGGCGCCCAAGAGGCCCCAAGAGGCCCCAAAGAGACCTCCAAAAGGCTCCAATAGGTCCCGAAAAAGCCCAACAAAGGCCTGAGAAGACCTGAAGAGGCCCCAAAACGGCCCCCAAGAGGCCCCGGATAGGCCTCCCACGAGATCCAACGAACATCCAATAAGCAGCTTCATACCCACAGCCCAGGCACGGTGGTGGGATGGGCCGAACGCCATTAGGCATCTAAGGGGAGAGGCGGAAGAGGATGGGAGGGGGAGCTGCTGGAGAAGCAGGGGGCAGGAGGCGGAAAGGAGGGGCCCCTCCTCGCGCCCGCCTCCTTGCTCCCCCCCCTCCTCCACCACCCCGATCCCCTGGCTCCTCCGATATCTCCACGGCCCTGACCCCTCTGGACCCGTACAGTGAGCGGCTTGAGTAAGGAACACTTGCTTTTCAAAAGGGGCTCGGTCGTTCCGTAAGGCTTGCATGCGTTACGTATCGTTCCTTATGCTTTTTCCTTGGAAAACAGGGGCTTCGTTCCTTATCTATCGTTCCTTTGGTCAGGCCGATGACTGTCGATCCGGCCCTCGCCCGCGAGCCGGGCCCTAGCCCTATAGCGGGGCTGCCTGGGCGGATCCGGGGAGGCGGGGCTTGCCAAGCTCTGGCCACGACGAGCGAGGACGGATGACTTTGGGGACGCTCGGGGCCCTCTTGGAGGGGGGCCTCGGCCGCTCCGGCGTGTATCGGGCTGGTGGGAAGGGGGGGATAGCAAAGGAGGGGTTTGAGAATCAGCTCACGTAGCTGATTTTCCTGGCGCCTCCCGGCGCCGGAGGCGTCTATGTATCGAGGAATGGGCCCCTCGGTGGGGCCGAAACCAGCTGCATGCAGCAAAGTCCGTGACCCCCCTTTCCCCTTTCGTCCGGCCCGAGTGTAGCCGGCGACGGGAGAGCTGGTCCCTGGACCTCTCCCGAGATATACCCCAAGCCCAGACCCCCTCGAGTAGTGACAAAAATCACGACGGGAGGCTTCTCGCCCTTGTCGGCCTCTTTTGTGGGGGCCCTCACCGGGCCTCGGGACCTTCAAATAACGACTCAGGATGAGAAGCCCGTCCCGGGGAATGAGTTCGGACCTCTAGGGGTCGCGCCATGATCACAGATCATGACGTCGGGGGTCTGGGGAGGAGGGAGGGGGGGAGCAGCGAGGGGGATACATGTCGTCGTCCTCCTTCCTCGTCCCTCCCCCCTCCTTTCCCGGCTGCCCCGCCTGCTCTGACTGATCTCCTCCCTCTCGGGAGGAGGGCGCGGAAGGCAGCGAGGTGGATCTGGACAACTGTCCTCCTCCGACCACAGGAGGACCCGCTCTCCCGATCATCCTGCCACGTCGGCGCCGTCTGGGTGAACGGGCCCACAGACAGGGCTCAGTTGCCATCAAGTGAGCAGGGGCCGACCGTTCTTGTATTAACCCTACCACGAAGTGTTCTCAGAACCCAAAGATGTTCTAATCACAAAAACAATGTTCTTAGAACCGAGAGAACGCGTTTCACGGGCGCTTGCCTTGGGAACATTCGGCGGCGCGTTTCAAACCGGGGGGTGGCCACCCCTCCAAACACTCGGCGCCGTCGATCAAAACCAGGGGAACTCCCCTCCCCCCAAACCCCCCCCCTCCCGACCCCCCCCCCTCCTCCCAAGGCGGGGGGGGTTCAAACACCCCCCACCCCTTCGGCGAGGGTTCCGGCGCTGGCGGCCGCCAGCAGCGCCCACGGCGGGGACGTAGCGACGATGACCAGAGGCAGCCCAGGGGTGGGGTTCAGCCTCCCCTCCCCCGCCCCTCCCCTCGGCGCCGGCGCTGGCGGCGGCCAGCAGCGCCAGCGCTGGCGCCGGCAGGGACGCAGCGACGATTCCCATCACTACCACCACCACCACCACCACCACCACCACCACCACCACCGCCTCAACCCACCACCACCACCACCACCACCACAACACCCACCACCACCAACAGCACCACACAAGCACCACCACCACCATAGCCACCACTACCACAACCACCACCACAACTCACCATCACAACCGCCACCACCACCACGACAAAAACCCACTACCACTACCACCACCACCACAATCTACCACACCACCACCATCACCGCCACAACCACCACCACCACTACCAGCAACACAGCCCACCGCCACCACCACAAACCACCACACCACCACTATCACCACCACCGCCGCCACCACCACCACCACAACAAACGTCCACAAACCACCGCCATCACCACAACCCACCACCACCACCACAAACCACCACACTACCACAACCACCACCACCACAACTCACCATCACCACCACCACAAAAACCCACCACCACTACCACCACCACCACCACCACCACAATCTACCACACCACCACCACCGCCACAACCACTACCAGCAGCACAAACCACCACCACCACCAAAAACCACCACACCACCACCACCGCCACCACCACCACCACAAACACCACCTCCGCAAACCACCACCGCAACTACAACCCACCACCACCACCACAAACCACCACCACACTACCACCGAACCGCCACCAAACCACCGCAACCCACCACCACCACCACAAAACACCACATCAGAAACCCACCACCACTATCACCACCACTACCACCCATCGCCACAACCACCACCACCACAACAAACCACCACACCACCACCACAACCACCACCACCGCCACCACCACCACCAGCACCACACAACCACCACCACCACCACCACAACTCACCACCACCACCACCACTACAAAAACCCACCACCACCACCACAATGTACCACACCACCACCACCACCGCCGCAACCACCACCAGGACTTGCAGCACAACCCACCACCACCACCAAACCACCACACCACCACCACCACCGCCACAACCACCAGCAGCACAACCCACCGCAACCACCACAAACCACCACACCACCACCATCACCACCACCGCCGCCACCGCCACCACCACAACAAACGTCCACAAACCACCGCCACCACCACAACCCACCACCACCACCACCACCACAAACCACCACCACACCACCACAACTCACCATCACCACCACCACAACTCACCATCACCACCACCACCACAAAAACCCACCACCACTACCACCAACACCACAATCTACCACACCACCGCCACCACCACCGCCACAACCACCACCACTACCAGCAGCACAAACCACCACCACCACCACCACCACAAAACACCACCACACCACCACCACCGCCACCACCACCACCACCACTACCACAAGCACCACCTCCACAAACCACCGCCGCAACTACAACCCACCACCACCACTACCATCACCACAAACCACCACCACACTACCACCAAACCACCACCACCACCACAACCCACCAGCACCACCACCACCACAAAACACCACCACACCACCACCAAACCACCACCACCACCACCACAACCACCCACCGCCACAACCACCACCACCACCACAACAAACCACCACACCACCACCACCACAACCACCACCACCGCCACCACCACCACAACCCACCACCACCACCACCACCACCGTCGTCCTCGTCGACGCTCCCCGCCACCGCCGCTCGCCGCCCGCCAAGAAACGGAAGTCGTCGTCCACGCCGCCGTCGCCAGCCGCCGCCGACCCAAGCGCAGCGCCGCGCAGCGCCGGCCCGAGGAGAGGGGAAGCATGAGCAAGGGGGGGGGGTTCGAACCCCCCCTCTATCGAGGGGGGGGGGTCCGGTTCCACCCCCCCCCCTCAAAGAGACCACAGAACGCGCTCTTTCTTGGAACCTAAACCCGAATGTTAAAACAAGACAGTCTCGGCCAGACATGTTCTGAGAACATGTCGTGCAGACCACCGACGGCTCTTAGAACATTCTTGGGTGGGGCTATAGGCACGCCAGGGCGCCTCGCCACTGCTTGCATGAAGCCGAGCAGGTCCTGCGCAGGGAAACGAATCCGCCCTCCCGGAGCCGGCAGTTCACCCCGCGCCGTTTCTGGACGGCGCCACGGAGCCCGGGAGGCCCGGAGGGGCGCAAAGCGGCGAGCAACGTGATGGGGACCTCCTGCCTCCAGGAGAGCCCAGAATCGAATCGATAAGTCGGATCGGCGATCGAAATGAATCGGATCGGCGGAAATCGGCAGCCGAGTCGGGAAACGTCGAATCGGCAGACATCGGCAGGCTAGTAGGCCTCCAATAAGAGATCGGAGCCCAAGTCGGAATCTCAAGTCGAATCGAATCGGAATCGGAAGCCATCGAAATCGAATCGAATCGAATCGGAGGAATCGAAACGAGCCCTGTGCCTCCCCCACGACGACTGCGGTCCTATCGCCCTTGATCTGACTCCTCCTTCTCCTCCTCCTCCCTCCTCCTCCTCCCTCCTCCTCCTCCTCCTCCTCCTCCTCCTCCTGGAAGGGGGTACCGTGCAGGATGGCGGGATGCGGGCAGGGAGGAGCGGAGGAAGGGGGTGAAGGGGAGGGGGTGTGCACGCAGGAGGAGGGGTGGGGCAGGGAGAAGTGCAGGAGTGATGCAGGGCGGTCTGGTGT